TACTCTTCAATATCATTTTATTTATTTTGGGAAACAAAATAATGTTAGGCCTAAAGGTATAATTGTTTCTAAACCTAAGGCTAAAGCAAAAAACTCATGCCCGTTCTAATCATGCATTCATGTAAGGATATCCTACACAGAAACCCAGAGTTGTGAAAAACTCTGGAAAGACTAACCCAAAAGGACCTAGAAAAATGTGGGTACCTAAGAATAAGATAATCTATGTTGTAGATATCCTTAGCAGCAAAGTTAAGACACCAGTCATGGTATCGGGACTCTGGATGCTCGTGGTACAGGATAGGAAGAAGTCATATATTCCAAATCCTGAAACTTAAGCATGAAGGCGTCGTCGGTTTAAGAGGTAATCAAAAAGGGAAGATCATTGGCTCCAGAATAGTAGGTAACGATACTTTCCCTTCTATTATTAATGTTCTTTTTGTTGAAGGACTAATGTACAACCTTATATCCATAAGTCAATTAAGTGACAATGGTTATGCCATTATTTTCAATCAAAAGTCATGTAAAGCTGCCAGTCAAAAGGAATTCCTAGTTCTTTTTAATGAAAATTGGAAGAACAACATTTATATGATTAGAATTTCTGATTTGAAAGTTCAGAATGTTAAATGTCTTATGTATGTTAACGAAGAGCAATGAACATGGCAGAGATTATTGGGTCATGTTAGAATGAGGAGTATTTCTCAACTTAACAAGCTCAATTTAGTCAGAGGCTTGTCAAATCTGAAGTTTGCTTCAGATGCTCTTTGTGAAGCATGTTAGAAAGGTAAGTTTTCTAAAACTTCTTTCAAAGCTAAGAATGTTGTTTCAACCGCCAGACCGTAGGAACTTCTTCACATTGACTTGTTTGGACCAGTAAAAATTGCTTCTGTCAATGGTAAGAAGTATGGACTAGTCATTGTTGAGGTGTTTTACTCAAGTTCCTGAAAATGAGCTAGTTGAAACAACTGTTGGAGGCCTAGACTATCCCATTAGGAAGAAATTAGATACCCAATACCTAAGATATATGACCTAATTAGCATATAGGGTTAGGTAGGTCAAATAGTTAAAAGCTGAAAAGGTTAGGTCAAGTAAATACCATAAGAAATAAAATGTTGCTTATGTAGAAATATATGAAAATGATCAAGAAACTGACATAGTCTTTGAATATGTTGAAGAAAATAGGGTTAATTTGGAAGAACTAAAGTTATGACCTCAATATGTTTGTAAAGTATTAAACTCCTAAGACCCTCTAATGGGAAAAATCCTACCGAACCTAATAAAAGTGAAAAATTAATTACAAAAACTTATATGTTCGTTGTAACTAAATGTGATGAATTTTTTGATCTTTTGGTTGCTGACTGTCAAATCACAGTGCCAAAAGGCCTAAAGACACTACCATTGTAACAAAGAAAGAAAAGAGGTTTATGTAAATATCATAATTTTCTTGGTCATAAGACACCTCAATGTGTCTGAAATTCTAGTTGCAGATCTCAGATGTCCCAGGAGATGTCAAGACATTGGTATCTTCTTAACTAAACAAGGACAAAACAAGAACATTCTGATTTTTCTAAGTCATAACAGTAACATGACAAATGTTTCAACATCTGTCAAGTCATATATTTTAGAACAAGAGAATAAACTACAAAATACATAGCAGAAAGATAAATAACACCAACATATGATGACCCAGTTCGGTGTAGAACAACACTTACATCTGGGGGCTACCAAGCCAAGAATGAATTCACTATCAGTAGTATTAATTCAGAGCTAAACAAACTCTGGTTTACAACTCCTCACTTAATCCCTATCCAGTGCAACTTCTACCTAGAAACCCATCTAGATAAGAGAAACCCGTCTTAATTCCTAAATCACCTTAGTGTTATCTAATAGTCACAACCTTCGGTAACTATATCAAACTATTCAATTGAAAGACACTCCTTTCAACATAATATTCAGTCAATACTCTTGACTAACACTAATACTTGAATTTGCTTAATAACTTCATCCAAGAACAATATACAATTCATTACCTACAGGTTTCTGAATATGTAAAGCTATGTCTACCACAATATATCAAACCTAATACAAAGGGTGACTTACAATATAAGAAAATCACACGACTCTCAAAACCTTAAACCCTTATTTTACTTTAGAAAAGTTTTAACAAGAACTAGTTCTTTGCTCTAGGTCTTGGTCTTCCTTTTATAATCTTCAGTAGTCCATAGGCTTCGAAACATCTGTCCAATCATTCCTTGATCCATGTTTTGATTGCACCTTAAATCTTGGAACAGATCTGCAACAAACCTGCTGTATTAGACCAAAATGTCAAGTCCTTAAGATAGGACATCTTGTCTGACATGTTGTTCTTTACAGATTTCTTCATGTTAGATCATCTTGTTCAACATCATGTTTTACCAAAATTTGGTCAAATCTTAGAGCTTTCAATCTCCCCATTTTGACGAATTTTGGCTAAAACTCCTTTTGCATAATAAACCTAGGAAATTAAGGAGTAGAAAGTCCTAAAGTCATTTCAGCCGACCTATGATGAGTCTAGCAGAAAATAATGTGACTCCTGAAAGATTTCATTCTTCCTGTACAACATACACAACCTGTTGTACGACGTGTACCCTTTGCCCTGGTGTATATGAGGAAGAAGATACAAGACACCCCCCTCAAAACCAGTCCCAATTTACCATTCTCCATTATCTAGATCAGGGCTCAGAGGACCAGACCCCAATTCTGGATAACTCAAAACATAAGACACAACTATGTTCATAACTCAAATCAGAGCTTAGAGGACCAGACCTGAATTTCAGATAACTCAGAACACAAGACATAACTGTGTTCATAACCCAGATCACAAGACACAAAAAGAAGACTCAGAACAAAAAGAACTAGGACACAAACATGATGTTAGAGCATTATATCCAACATCCTTGCAACACAACTGCAAGAACAGACTCAAACCACAAAATTAGATCAGTCATGTGTTACAAGGAACAACACAAAATTGAGATAGACACACAACCTATATCCCCATTTTTAGCCAAAAATTGACAAAGGTGTCCAACACTGTTCCAAACCTAAATAGTACTCACCCAAACTCAGAAAAATGCCATAAAGACTCGACAAAAAAAAAAGAACCTAAGACAAAAGAAGCAAAGACCCCCTTTAAATACCCGAGCAATTTCCTTAAAAATAACGAGCCATTGATATAACTGAAGGACAATTCAATGAAAGAGTAAATTGAGTAATATAACTCCAGCATAAATAAGTGTGCACCGTCCAACTCAGTTTTGATTGTTTCTTCTTTAATGAGAATCGCCCAAAGACTATGCATATACCGAAGAAACATGTTTTGCACACCCTCTTTAAGACACATTTTCCACCGCCTACATAGAGCCACGAGTCCTAAACAATGTACTGACCCCCAATCAGTCTTTGTCTACTCTCTCTTGTAAATTTTGAATCATAGTCACAATGCCTTCCAATGAACTCCAAGAATACTCCTTTCACTCAGAATTAGAATATCCTAACCATGATGTCAAGACAGTATTTGTGACATCTCCCATTTATCAACAAAAGCTTCTATGGACCTTATCCCATTCTGCAGAGAAAAATAAATTCTCCCAGATAATATCCCATCTTGTTTCTCAGGTCTCTTCTAAGAATCATGAACCTAGTTGAAATAATTCAATAGTCTTAACAAGTAAAACTCACAAGCAGAACTTACTAAGCTAAAGTATCAGCACACCTAGATGTTAAGACATTTAGTCTGACATCACAATCTCACACGAATCACATGAACACCATTATGCTCATAAGAGAGAAAAAACTAGGATCATAATTCTTGTACCATAGCCAATAAACTCTTGGATTGAGATCAAATAATACCATTGGAGGCTACAAAATTCAACAATATTAAAAGTCAAATGACAAAGAAGCCCATGAAGGAGAGCATCTTTTCTCCTCTGCTAGCCATAGTTAAACCAAATAGCAAGGATTCCTTGCCAAATAAAAATGATAAAACACTAATGGATTGTTTTGACTATAGATCAAAGAATAATTTTAATGTCATTTATAACAGAAGAGGAAAATGAGTTTGTTAAAGAGTCAACAAACTATAAGTTGTAATGAATAATGATTTAAAAAAAAAAATAGTGAAAAACACATAGGATTGATAATAAAAAAAAGAAAGAAGGAAGGGTTATAAAAACACAGGAAATGAATCGACAAACTCTAAAAAGAAAAGCGTATATCATGGCAAACGTCAGCAAGTTGGAAGGATTCTGATTCCGGCAAACCAAATAAATACTCCTAACTAATTAACTACTAATTATATCTCAAAATGAAATAAAAAAACATTAAAAACAATGACATAAGCATAGAATATGATAAACAATGAATCATAGAATACAATAGTGCTTACCGCTTTCGCTTTGTGTTGTGTTTTTTTGGAGCGTGTCGACTTCAACTCAACTCAACTCAGCTTTTAGTTTGACTTTAAAACGAGTCAGTCACCGAGTTTTGTGATGTATTGTAGGGTATCAACTATATTCAATTGAATCCTCCTCATCAGTATCTTCTCTCTGATTGGAATCATTTTCTTCTTGTCTCCTTCTGCCGCTACCATTACCAAGGTTTTTTTTTCTCATCTTTCACAACTTGCTCAATTTTCAAATTCTTGTTACTATATATGAATATATGAAGAACCATTATTGGTATTGTACGGTTTAATCAATGAAATTGTTTATGAAAAAAATGAAAGATATGGTTGGGTATCTCCGAGAATCTTTACATATATGGAGAGTTATTCGTTTTGTTCCTTTTCAATTCAACTTGTTATATGCTATGCTTTCTCTTTGGTTTCCACATACATAATCAAAATCATTCTATTGTTTTTTTTTTTTTTTTCATTCAGTGCAGAATAATCTGTCACTCAACTGCAACTGTGTCTGTGTTTTTGATTTGTGGAGAAAGAAGAACTAAGAAGCACGTTCATCATGGGAGATGGTGCTGCAGTGACACCATCTGCAACCATGATGGAAGCACCGCCACAAGATGTAAATTCAATGGATTTTGATTACATGAGTGAGCTTTTGTTAGATGGTTGTTGGTTGGAGGCGTCTGCGGATGGATCTGAGTTCTTGCTGCAAAGTTCTCCTTTTTCGAATCCAATCTTTGACCCTTCGTACTCTTGGCCTGCCTTGGAGAACAACGAGCTGCCCCGCATTGAGGATCGGAATGACTCACAAGATGTTCCTGTTGGCACCGAACAAGAAAATCGGATTATGGTTAATAATGTTGGTTGCAGTGACCGGCAACAGTGTGAGTTCGAGACTCATTTGGGTGAAGGGGTTAGTAGGTTGTGGATTCCACCGACCCCTAATCAAGGACCTGGTGGATTTTCCATAACGGAGAAGCTGATACGAGCTCTCAAGTGGATCAAGGATTTCAATAGGAACAAAGATATGCTTATACAAATATGGGTGCCGGTTAATAGAGGGGATGATAGGCCGATTCTGAGGGCTAATGATCTTCCTTTTTCACTTCAATCAAGGTCTTTAAATCTTGCAAAGTACCGAGAAATCTCCGTGAGATATCAGTTTTCTGCGGAGGAGGAGGACTCGAAGGAGTTGGTGGCGGGTTTGCCTGGTCGAGTTTATAGGGATAAGATTCCTGAGTGGACACCTGATGTTCGATTCTTCAGGAGTGAAGAGTATCCGCGAGTTGACCATGCTCAAGAGTGTGATATACACGGAACATTAGCGGTTCCAGTCTTTGAACAAGGGAGCAGGACATGTTTGGGTGTTATTGAAGTGGTGATGACTACCCAGCAGAGCAACTATGGCCGTGAACTTGAGACTGTTTGCAAAGCGCTAGAGGTTTTTCTCCTTCCATATTTGCATAGAGTTTTTTGTTTGTTTGGTGTCATTTTTACAACACAGAAGGATGCATGAAACCCTTAAAAACATGAAACAAAGAACTTTTGGTTTTAGAACAATGGAATTTTAGGTTCAATTCAACATGCTATCTGCCTTTTCTTAAAGGGAAAAACTGCACTTTTACATAATGAATTGCTCCTTTATACACATTTCAATATAAGTGCTTATGGCGACAAATACGTTTACATGCCATACATGTGAAGCTCATCAAAAGTCAGAACTCATTAATACTAGTTTAATGATCGGGGAAAGTTGTTAACTTGCAGGTTGTTGATCTCAGAAGCTTTGGACATTCAAGCCTTCAGAATGTGAAGGTACATAGAAAATCATCTCTGGAAGATTTTAACGAACTCAGTAAATTCTCAATTTCCTCTTAACAAACCGGTTCTATTTTACCAGGCATGCGACAGGTCCTATGAAACCGCACTACCCGAGATTCAAGAGGTTTTGAGATCTGCATGTGAAATGCACAAATTACCTTTGGCTCAGACTTGGATCTCTTGCATCCAACAGGGAAAAGATGGTTGCCGGCACTCTGATGATAATTATGCACACTGTATATCTCCAGTGGAATATGCTTGCTATGTTGGCGATTCCTCGGTCAGGTTTTTTCACGAGGCTTGCTTGGAGCATCACTTGTTAATAGGTCAAGGTGTTGCCGGGGGTGCTTTTATGACAAACCAACCGTGCTTCTCGGCTGACATTACTTCTTTAAGCAAAACCGATTATCCACTGTCTCATCATGCTAGGTTGTTTGGGTTGCGGGCGGCAGTTGCCATACGACTCCGAAGCATCTACAGTACTTTGGATGACTATGTTCTTGAGTTCTTCTTGCCTGTAGATTGCAATGACAGTGAAGAACAGAAAAAGATGCTCACATCATTGTCCGTGATTATTCAAAGGGTTTGCCACAGCTTGCGAGTTATAACCAATAAGGAATTGGAGAAAAATAACTTATCAGCTAATGTAGTAACGGCTGCCGCTGATAGTGGATTTGCAAGGAATGCAATTAGGTCGGACCTCCAAAACAGGAGAACGACCGCCTCATTGGGTAGTGAAGAAATGTTTACTGAAACAATGAGTAAAAAATTCGCAGAACAAAGGCGGCAACAAGAAAATCTTATTTTAAAAGGAGATACTGACGATGGTAGGGAGTGTTCTCCTTCTGTTCAGGGTAACTTCTTGTCAAGTTTGGGCGTAAATAGAACGGGAGAGAAAAGACGGGCCAAGGCGGAGAAAACTATCACTCTTCAAGTCCTGAGGCAATATTTCGCTGGAAGTCTAAAAGATGCTGCAAAGAATATTGGCGGTAAGCCTTACCTACAAGCATACGCAAGTGTCTCATCTCTTAGTTTATTTGTGATTATCTATTAGAAGTCTTTCGCTAATATCATATTTTTAATTGAATTTTCCAGTCTGTACTACAACCCTGAAAAGGATATGCCGGCAACATGGTATTAAGCGTTGGCCTTCTCGGAAGATAAAAAAGGTTGGTCACTCCTTGCAGAAACTTCAACTTGTCATTGACTCGGTTCAAGGTGCCTCTGGTTCATTCCAAATTGATTCCTTCTATTCAAAGTTTTCGGATCTATCGTCTTCAAATTTATCAGGAACTACCCTGATCTCAACTCTGAATCAAATCGATAATCCTGTCTCATTAAACATACAGCCTGATCCCAACACGTTGAGTCCAGAAGGTGCGTCAAAATCACCCTCGTCTTCATGTAGCCAAAGCTCCTTTTCAAGCCATTCCTGTTCCAGCATGTCAGAGCAACAGCACCATACAAGCAATGTTGCTGCCGGTATCAAAGATCTATCTGTCGGTGAAGATTCCGTTGATGTGTTGAAGAGAATCCGCAGTGAAACAGAACTTAAAAACCTGATTCAAGATAATAAAACAAAGCTGATGCCAAGATCACAAAGCCAGGAAACACTTGGTGAACACCCAAAAACCGAGTATCTCCAATCCTTAATAAAATCTACTCGCAAAGCCTCTCAAAAGGAGGATGCTCACAGAGTAAAAGTTACATTTGGAGACGAGAAAACCCGGTTTAGGTTGCCAAAGAACTGGAGTTATGAAGATCTTGTGCAGGAAGTTGCTAGGAGATTTAATGTAAGTGACATGAGCAAATTTGATATCAAATATTTAGACGATGATTACGAATGGGTATTACTAACTTGTGATGCAGATTTGGAGGAGTGCATCGATGTTTGTCAATCTTCCGAGACTAGTACTATCAAACTATGTCTTCAACCCTCCATTAATTTTATCAGGAGTTCTTTAGAATTTAGATAGAAAAATCCTTTTGTAATTGATTGTAAATTACAAGATCCTTTGTCATGTATGTGAATAATGTTCAAAGTAAATCTTACAAGTTTGTAGTTAAAGCCATGATTCCTTTTCTTTGTTTGTTTAAAGAAATTGTATATTTTGTTAGACTATGAGGATAAACTTTTGTATATCCTTATAGTTATGATGATGAACGATTTACACTTTAATCTGAGTTTGCTACAGCATGAGTGTGAGCACGTTCAAAGCATGAGTGTAAGCACTAATGCATAAAAGATCATGGTGTATTTTAAGTTAAACTCCATAAGATTGTTGTTTCCAACGCATAAGTCACGTGATTGTGGTCTAAATGAGATCCATGATGTTCTCACACTTTCATGGAATTCTACTTAGTGAATCAATCAAGATTGCTTTACAACTATGATGTGGATGTGTGTGGTCCTGCTGAGAAGAGGAATAGGACCATCATGAACATGAGACGCATGATGAAAGAAAAGATACTTAGACATGCTTTTTGGGGGCGAGGCTGTCATGAGTGTTTGTTATGTGTTCAAGTGGAGTTCAACCAAGAGATTAGATATGATTCTAGAGGTAATATGGTTGGGTCACACTTCACCTGTCAATCATTTGAGGATCTTTGACTTATATGTTTCAAGCACATCTTAGAGATTGTTGCTAATAGAACCAAACCAAATCAAACTAATGCGATATGAGTTGATTCGGTTGGTTTGGTTTTTTACAATATTTTTATTGAGCTATACATACACATATAAAGAACAATATAACTTTGTGTTTAAACAATCATACAGTATCAAATAACAACAAAATTCATCATATTGTATTCCATGGAATGCCAAAGGAACTGAATATCAGATTGACCAAGTTGAGCATGGAAGGTGCGGTGATTCACTGGTTAAATTTGGTGTGTGAAACAAAGGACAGGCTTAGGTGTATGAAATTGAAATAAGCTTTGATTTAGATGTATGAAGGCAGACAATGTGACAACTCATTGAAAGAATTGAAGGATTTGAAACAACCCGGGAGTATGGATGAATATATCACTCAATTCAAATATGTATGATGATCTCAGAAGGTTGTAGAGGAATAATATTTGGGATACTTTATGGGGCCTCAAATTAGAGTTGTAATTGAAGGCCACGCCTACAATCCTTGTACTTGTATTCAAGCCATGAATCTTTTTCGTGACATTAAAAAAAATAAAATTGAGAGGGTCACTGTTACCACGAGGAGGTGGACCAAAAGTTAGAAAAGGACATGATATCATCACAATGGGATGAGTGCATTTGGATCGGGGTTCCAATAAGAGATGGAATTTTGGAGAATTTAACTTGCCACCTTCAAATTATACCCAACACAGAAAGGTGAGAAATATCAAGTTTCATGAAGATTGGATTAATACTGACGGGAGGGTGAAATACAACCTTATTGAGTTGAAGACCGACAAAGATGTGAAGGAAATATGTAGATCATCTCGCTATAAGATAACAAAGGGGTCGATCGCGTTAGATGCTAAGCTTTCAAGATCTGATGACGACATAATGGAGATGCTGAAACATTCAGAATCGTCTGGTAGTATTTAGGTTTTTATTATTTATTAATCATATAGTAGTGCTAAGATTTTTCTGTTTAAATTATGTAATCCATTGTCAGATATTAGTTAATAATGACGTTGCAATTTAAGGAATATAAAAAAATATTAGCAAATAAAGAGTTATGATGAAGATGACTGAATAATATACAAATGGTACAAATAATACATATTACAAAAGATGTCTAAATAGGCCCCCACAGGCTATGTGTGCAGTCCAAGATAATCCAGTATAAACTTCGCCATCCAGGTTTACCATACTCATGAGGTTATCCATAATAACTGCAATTATCTAGAGGCATTGCTGGTCATTAGAATCATCTACTAGAAAAGACGGCGGCGACACGTCATCAGCAGGTACCCCAACATCAGAAGGTCCAACATCAGATGTATGCAAGGGTGTGATACAATGAGGTACCACTCTAAGTAACCATCCTCACACTATGAGGGATGTTGATTAGTGACTGCTCGATCTCTAATGGCACAACTAGAGTTGATGAAGTTACTCTGAAATCACCAAGCAGCACCTAAAAATGGTATATCTGGAACTGGTTGTGTGATACTTTGAACATAACCATATTGTCGAAGAGACCTTTCACGCAAGTGTCTAGCAACCATGGTCTCCCACCGCATATAACCTGAATATAATGACGACTCCTTGAGCTCCTTCCTGAAATCCTTCTTGAAGTTCAAGTGTTTTTCTCTTTTTGTCATGATAAGTCTTCTGACGACTTTGAGAAATCTTCATCTTCTTATGAATCATCTTAATCTTCTCAGTTGTCTGCTAGACTATCTCAGGTCCAACCACAACACTCTCTCCCGACTCATACAAACACAATGGCATCTTACACCTGCTACCATACAAGGCTTCAAACGGTGTCATTCCAATACTCGAATGAAAATTGTTGTTGTGAGTAAACTCAATTAAAGGCAAGTAGTTATCCCAAGCACCTCCTTTTTCCAACACACAAGCTTTCAAAAGATCCTCAAGTGACTGAATCGTCCTCTTCGTCTGACCATTTGTCTGTGAATGATAAGCAGAACACAATCGCAACTTCATACCCAAAGTACTTCGCAAACATTCCCAAAATCTTGAAGTAAACCTCAGATCTATATCTGACACAATGTTAGACAAAATACCATGCAAAATGATAATCCTCTCAATATACAGCTTTGCTAACTTCTCCAATGGATAATCCATTCTCATTGAAATAAAATGAGCAAATTTTGTTAATCTATCCATAATGACCCAAATAGCCTCACAATTACTCGGTGTTCTGGGTAAACCAGACACAAAATCCATCGATATACTATCCAATTTCCACTCAGGAATAGATAACGGTTGAATCAAACCCGACAGTTTCTGATGTTCGACCTTCGACTTCTGATAAGTCAAACTAGAATACACAAACTCTACAATTTCTTTCTTCATACTAGGCCACCAAAATATTTTCCTTAATTTCTGATACATCTTAGTAGCACCCAGAAGAATGCTCAATCCACTATGATGCCCTTCCTCAAGAATACTCTTTTTTAGCTCAACTATATCCGGAACACAAATTTTATCACGACATCTCATAATACCATTTTCATTAATCTAAAAATCACCACCTTGACCTTGATTGATCAAAGTCAATCGTTCTACCAAACTCAAATCAAATTCTGACCTTCCCGAATCTCATCAAGAATACCACTAGTAAGCTTCAGCATACCAAGCTTAACTCCATGAAAAGTCTCTTCACAAACCAAACTCATTTTTCGAAATTTCTCAATCATCTCTAACTCTCTTACCATCATCATTGTCATATGCAAAGATTTCCTACTCAATGCATGAGCTACTACGTTTATTTTACCCGGATGATAAGTCAAACCAAAATCACAATCTTTCAGAAGTTCCAACCACCTCCTCTGCCTCGAATTCAACTTTTTCTGATTAAAGAGATATTTCAAGCTCTTATAATCACTAAACACTTCAAGTCTCGATTCGAACAAATAATGCCTCCAAAGCTTCAACACAAACACAACAGCAGCAAACTCTAAATCATGCGTCGGATGATTCCTCTCATGCACTTTATGTTGCCTTGAAGCATAAGCTACAACTTGCTGATGTTTCATCAACACACTTCCTAATCCTATCAACGAAGCATCATAATATACAACAAGCGGTTCTGCAGATTAGGCAAAATCAAAACAAGAGCTGTCGTCAACCATCTCTTAAGCTCTTGAAAAATTTCATCGCACTTTTCATCCCAAACAAAATTTTAACCCTTCCTAGTCAACTGCGTCAACGACAAGGCTAACTTGGAAAATCCTTCAATGAATTTCCGAGGAAACCTGCCAAACCAAGAAAACTTTTAATCTAAAAAACCGATTTCAGAGCTTCCCACTGCAAATTCAACCTTTGACGAATCAACTACAATACCTCTTCTCAAAATTACATGGCTAAGGAAACTCACTTCCTTCAACCAAAACTCACACTTAGAAAGTTTAGCATACAACTGCTTCTCTTTCAACACTGATAACAAAATTTTTAAATGCTCAGCATGATCCTCTTCACTCTCCGAATAGATCAAAATATTATCAATGAACACAGCCTCAAACTTGTTCAAATACGGATGGAAAGTCATGTTAATGTACTCCATAAATACACCCGGTGCATCAGTCACACCAAACGGCATCACAAAATACTCATAATGACCATACCTGGTTCTAAAAGCAGTCTTCTGAATATCTTCGGCCTTCACACAAATCTGATGATACCCAGACCTTAAATCTATCTTACTGAACACACTTGCACCAACCAACAGATCCATCAGATCATCAATCTTCAGAAGTGGATACTTATTCTTAATAGTCACCTTGTTCAATTGTCTATAGTCCATATAAAGCATCACATAACCTTCTTTCTTCTTAACCAATAAAACTGGTGCACCCCACGGTGACACACTCGGACGAATGAATCTCTTCTTAAACAGATCTTTGATTTGAATCTTCAACTCTTTTAATTCTGATGCAGACATACGATATGAAACCATCGATATCAGACTAGTTCCAGGAACTAAGTGGATCGCAAACTCCACTTCACGTTTCGATGGTAAATCACTCAACTTTGACATCCCATCTTTGAATCCATATAACTTGAGGAGTTTTGATCCAATGGAGATGATATAGTAATGGGTAGATATATTGAAGAATGATTCTCAACTTTCATGTTCAAGGGAAGTTGATTTGAAGCTAAGAAAATGGTGGAAAATGTCTTGGAAAGTAGCCCCAAAAATTTGCCTAAAACATGTCCAACCTTTACAACTTTGAAACCTTAATTTGGAGAGATCATAACTTGATTTCTACACATCCAATAAAGGTGATATAGTACTCAAATGAAAGCTTGGAGGATGCT